AGAGAGAGAGAGAGAGATAAAAAAAAAAAAAAGAAGAAAACACTCATATTCTACTGTGTGCTGCTTTACCTTTCCTATCCTCCTTGGCCCCCCTCAAGACCTGCAGAAAAAAGGAAAGAGTGAGAGAGAGGCCATTGCGACAGTGATGTTAGAGGGAAGACGTCTCCCTCTCGGGGAGATGGGAGTCCTCAAACTTTTTGCTACGAGCTCGCGGCTTTGAATGCCACCTCGACGATAGCAGCCATCATCATTTCACATTTCATCACGCTCATGATATCGTTTGAAGAATCCTAGGATGTCCTGGGGTCGCCGCAGTGCAGCGCAGGAGCATTGCTGCCAGAGTCTTTCCTCACCGGTTTCGCTGCTGGCTTGACAGAGACCCCGCTGGCATCCATGTCGCCTGGTACGAAATACAGATGGTTCGATATGTTTGAGATTAATTTCGCATTATCTTAAACTGACATTAAAACTATGGCCTTAGTACTTAGGGCCACGTGAATTTGGGCCTTAGAGTTCAGTGTCTAGAGAGTTTGCACAGAGTGTGGGCTTTTGACAAGCGCTGAGCTCGACCTTTCCTTCAACGAAATGTCTCATGTAAGAAGGGTTCCTCAGCAGCTTCCTCCCCCAATCCATAGAATTCCCCTGCCTACCCACAAACCCCCCATCCCCTGAATTCGCTGTTGTTGTTGACTCTCCCTTCTTGGGATCTGCAAGGTTCGGCGCTCATCACATGGAGCTGCCCAGCCACAAGAAAGGACAGCCCGTTTAGATGCATAGCTGTGGCCCGAGAGCTACAGAGAGAACCAATCCACCACAAGGTCCAGAATATTGTTTAGCAGGTTTCACAGGGGGTAATATGTACAATAGTTATACAGTTATACAGGTATTCTGGGAATAGTCTACACAGCCGTGGGTCCTTCTTGACTTCGTTATGCTTAGTTAGGGCCTGAGGGTTTAGGGTTTATCTCAGAAGGTGGGTGGGTTTGGGGTCTAGGTAGGGTTTATCAGTAAAGCTGCTAGGGCTGCTTGCTCCAACTCCGGGCGAAGTGGAAAGCTTGTTGCAAAAGGTAGGGTTTGTCTCAGAAGGTGCTTCAAAGTCATGACATGCCTTGGCAGGGCTTTGGGGCACGCGCTTCGCTGTCTGGGCTCCCAACGCGCACTCTGTAAGCTTGGTCGGCGACTTCAATTACTGGGATGGGCGAGCACATCCTATGTCTTGCCGAGAGAAGCCGCCTGATCTGAACTTGTGAGATAGGAGTAGGAACCCCATCGAACAAAAAACACATCTTCAACGCCCGTGTGCCCATGTGTCGGTTTGCGTTTTCTGATGGGAGATGGGCCATAAGCTGGTGAGGCTTCTGACAGAGTTCGTTTGCTGCCCAAGACTTACGATTCGTCTTCGTTCGTCTTTAGTGTGTTGAGGATGTCTCCGCTTACATAGTGTCGAAATCTCGGGCTTGTGAGTTGAGGTTTCAATTTAAATAGCTTTAGGCTTAGGGTCCACGCCTCCGCAACCGGAGGTTTGGAGTTTGGGAGATCTTCCTGCCTTCCTGGGACCTGCGCGGCCAGAAATATGCCTACCAGGCTTGGGAACCTGCGGTATCTACTGCCGCGAGTGCTGCTGCTATTGCTACGCTGAGTGGTCATAATTGTTCAGCTGATATCTATGGTTGTGGCAGTCATGGGAGTTTTTGATCCTGCCAGCGAGAATAATTAGTGGCAACACTCGTCAAAATAGTCGTGGTAAGAGCATTGTGATGGCAAGCAAGGCTGGCAAAAGTGATATGGAAGCCTAAAATAATTACCAATATTGCTGCTAGGATTCCTGAGTATACATATACTTTGAAGGCGCCAAAAAACCCTCTTCTAGTTATTAATACATTCGCATGCAACAGAGCAGCTCAAGCCTTGATAATTGCAAGGGTAGGATAGCGGATAGCAGAGGCCTCAATCATATAATTATAGTATAAATGGGCCCCAAAACCCTATTCTAATTATTACGGCCACTACATTTTGCCCCTAAAACTAACTATAGAAACCCTTATAAGCCCAAAGCCCCAAACAGGTGGTGTCTGAAGCTCTTGAGCCCGTCTCTTGGCCAGAGAAAGTCTCCCCCGCAGTAGTTCGCAAGTTGTTGGGTTTCCCTTGTTGTGTGGATGTCCAACGGGAGTGGAGGCCGTTTTAAGAAACTGAAGCTCGCACATAAAGTTCTGCTTGTAAAAAACTCTATGCAACAGTATTCATTTCCATGTCCGAAAGCACCTCTGGGATGCTGATTCGCACTCACGAGTCACGAGCCCAGCAGGCTCCGGACGTTGCACTCATGCAGTGCACCTTCCCCCTTTCAATAGAGAAGGGTTTGAGGCTATAAATATTTGCCCTCCAAAGTCCACCTATAGTCTCCATTGTAGTTCCTTTTTTTGGTTTAACCAAATATATAATAAGGATTTTATAAGGTATCCCCAAAAAGGAACTACAATGGAGACTACAGGTACAGTATGGAACTCAGGGTGCTCGCAGCAGATGAGGTCGTCAAAGCCGATCCATGCGCCTTGGAGTTCGTGGATCCTTCGGATGGCGGCCACGATGCCAAGGTGGCGGATGACTGGATGCTCACCTTACGTGCTAAGTGGGTAGGAATGCGGAACCTGTCCCATACAGGACCTAGGCTGGAGACTATGGCCATCCTGCGTCGCAGCACTCTTTAAGAAACTGCCGCTGTCAAGACCCGAGCCCCTGAGAAACAGGTGCCGGAGTGCGACGACTACAGCAGAGCAGCGTGGAATCGTCCTCAGTCTTGTCGCGTGAGCTTATCTTGTCCTCTTCAGAGCATATACACGTTTTGCGCCACGCACGAGCAAGCCACCAGCTGACTGCAAGCTGGAATAAATTGACATCTGCTCCATGATGAAAGTAATCTATGGTTGGCCATGGATGCGTTGTCGCACAGGAACGGCACCTACCCTTGGACGGATGATGCGTTCATTGCCAAACGACAGGCGGTGCCAGTCAGAAAGGGAGGGCCTAGTCGCGCGAAGACCTGAGTGTCAGTCAGGGTCGAGATCTTAAAGTTTAGGGAAAGCCTGTTGCAAAAAGGATTTTAGGAATTAGGGTTCCGGGTTTCGGGTTTAAGGTTGGAGTCCTGGGGTTTGGTCGTGCCGTACACCTGGCTGGGACAGCATCCCCACTGCTTTATTTTCGGTACGAGTGCCCAGGGATGCCTTGACTTTGAGCGAAAGCCCGGAGGCTAAGTTTGGCAGCGCGACCTGGTGCAAGGAGCCTCTTTCCATCTACGAGGCTCGGAGGCTTTACCGGGTTTGGACTTTGGGTAGGACCAGGGTTTCGGCGTTCAGAGGATATGAGTTGTTGAACTTCGGAGTTGTCGGTTTCCTGCACCACCGACCCGTGCCGAAACGTGGCCTTTCGGAGAAATGCTGACGCACGAGACGGCCCAGCCCGTGGAAAAAGAGCGGTCCTATCGTGCTGGGCTTCACGGCGGTTCTGGCTGGGACAGATGTATAGTAGTGTAGTGGCAGGACTTTGGAGGCATCAAGGAAGCAGTTGAACCAGGTTCCTGTAGGGAATCACGCGCAACGCCTGAGAAGAAGATGAACCGAAGCCCGAAACGCTGAATCTGAAACCCCTGCCTAAAGCCGAAACCCTTACTAGCAAGAAGAGGTGCACTTGGGAAGTTGGACCATGACAGCCAGTGCGAACTACCGGGATATCGCAGAGCCCCTGGCGAAACACGTGCAGGACCCACGTATTGTTTTTTTTGTTTTGTTGTTGTGGTGTTCGTACAGCTCTACCGTCTCCCAGATATGTTTCCCTGATCTTATTTCCTCGCGACGTGAGCCTGGAAGCTTTAAGTGCATTTGCCATTTATCCTGTGAAGTCGACCCTTGAAGCCCTAAGCTCTTCATGTAACTAGTCAATTCCAGCATGTCCTTAGCATGAAACCGCGATGCATTCGTGAGGAACTGGGCTTCACGGCTGTGGAATTCCTCCCGTTGTCACAGCACCGGTGCTGGCATGGAGACAACCCTAACATGCATAGTGGCATTTTGTTGAGGATGTGTGTGTGTGTGTGCATGGTGACAGCGAACTCTGCTAAAATCATTATTATTACTACTACTACTACTACTACTACTACCACCACTACTACTACTACTACTACTACTACTACTACTACTGCTTTAGTGACTTTAGTGCTACTGCTACTGCTACTGCTACTGCTTTAACTTTAGTGCTACTGCTATTGCGACTGCTACTGCTACTGCTACTGCTACTGCTACTGCTGCTGCTGCTGCTGCTGCTACCACCACCACTACTACTACTACTACTACTACTACTACTGCTGATTACTGCTACTGCTACTGCCACTGTGCTGCGCTGGTGGGATGATGGTGGTGCCATTTTGTCGGTGGCCATGACAAGTCTGCGCTGACCGAGGTATCCCTGCGAGGAGTCTTGGGGCTACCAGTGCGCAGCCGGGCTTTTTGCTGTGGACAGGCGCCACGCAGGGGTTACTCTGACGTCAGGTTTGGGGATGTAGTGCTAACAGGCTCAGGGCAGGGGTTTAGAGTTTTGGGCTATTCGCACGTGCCTCTTCTCCATAGAGGTAGACTTAGTTCAAGGAGGGTTTAGCTAACAACGATCTGGATCTTCGTGCAAGCCGAGCAGGCTGAATCGAGGGTTGAGATCCCGAGCATGCTTAGGGCTGTAGTTTTTAGGGGTTCAGGGTCCAGGGTCACTTGAGTGTTTAGATATTTTGGACCTCACCCGCGGCTCAGAGACATGCAGGCGTCTTGGCACTCCCGACGACTTCCGCTACCTCGCAGCTTGACATGTTGTCTTTGTTGCGATGTGGCTGTGGCCACGGGCGCCGTTCTTGTATAGACATGTTTCCGGCCTACTAGTTAAGTTGCCTCTCAAGTGTCAGTACATCCGTTCTGCGGATCTGGGTGCTGCGGATGCTGGATCTGCAAAAACCCTAAGTGTTTCATCGTGGCATGTGGCCAAAGCGAGGGAGAACAGCAACAGTTCCTGCTAGATTCACGAGTTTCGCCGAGTTGCTTCCTAGTCCTATCCAACGTATGCAGCTTGGTCTAAGGACTTCCCGGTGTGTCCCGTGTTGCAGCTTCTGACTTAGTCACAGGCTTGCTCTGTGAAAGATGGAGAGGTACACCAAACTGCCCTAAACCCCAAGGTCCAACAGGCTTGTGACCTGGGTTGGACCTCGCCTCGCTCTTTCTGGATTGTCAGCAGAGGATGGTCCAAAACCCTCCCTAAACCAGTGAGGCCAGGAAGCCTCACGTGGCTGACACTAAACCCATACAGTATGTATGACATAGCTATGATGAATATTTCGCAGCTTTACGCACCATGCCCGAAAACCATGATCCGTACCTAGGCCCCTGCGATTAAATTCCAGAGCATTTCAGCACCCTTTTGTTCCACGAATTTGGCTGTCTGAGGTGGACACGCTGCACAGCTACGGAATCGCTGTGTTCATGGACTTTGTTGGGGCACACTTTGCGAAGGATTCCACTCAGTAGTGCGCAGTTGCTGGCAGTTTAAAGGGGTGTCAGCTGTTTGAGGTTGATGGCGTTCAGGGTTTCGAGTTTTGAATTTTAGTTTGCGGGTCATTGCAGCAAGAGGGTTTGCCTGTGTCAAAACCCTGCGCACCTTATTGCAGCACATGTCTTGATGGTATGTCTGCAGTCAGCAAAAAACTGCAGCAGCTTGTCCTTAACCCTAAACCCTAAACCCTCCTTCTCCTGTCTCTTCCGTGAATGCAAGTGCTACAAGCGAAGGCCTCGAGGCCTCGACTCGGCCCCGGGCCAGGGAACACCGGAGCCCCGTCCTTCCTGCAAGGGGGCCTCCGACCCTATATATATAT